ACCAACCACAACACCAGGGAGATGGGCAAGGTCCAGGGGTGCCCAGGTCCAACGGGGGGGTCAGGGGCTCCACTCCCCTCCCAGAGCTGAAGAGGGCCCATGCGTCCAGGCTCCTGACCAGCCCCCCACCCTGCACTGCCCTCCCAGAGCTGGAAACGACCCAGGCATCCGGGATCCCATTCCCCCGCTTCGCTGGGGCTGGGGTGAGCCCAGAGCTGGAGAGGACCCAGGCGTCCAGACTCGCAGGCCCCACTCCCTGCTCAGAGCTGGAAAGAACCCAGGTTTCCAGGTCCTCCCCACCCTCCACATCTAACCCAATGAGGTGCTGGCGTGTCCCCGACCCCCCTGGATGCGCCAGCCCCATGCGGGCAGGAACACAATGGGGTGGGTGGGAGTGGGGAGCCTCGGTCTTGCCAAGAGCTGGCATGAAAAATGGGCCCATTGAGCCGGGCCGCCCCAGGATGTGCTCCCGGGAGCCGCACCCCCAACGGGATCTATAACCCCCTGCGCACGCCGCTGTGCCCACGCCACTGGAGACAGGTACTGGTAGCACTGGGTGTGGGACAGCCTAGGGACCTGCCGGGGCTGGGGGGCTGCCCGGGTGCCCGGGTTCTCTCCAGCTCTGGGCCCACCCTGATCCTAGCAGGCGGGAGGAGGTGGGATCCCGGACGCCTGGGTTCTCTCCAGCTCTGGGATGCCAGAGCCCTTCGTGGAGTTCCCCCCCGCTTCCCCAGGAGGGTGGGTGGTCAGGATTGCCCCCTGTCCCAGGCACAGTTGGGGGAAACTGAGTCTCAGAGAAGGGCTGTGACTCCCACCCCCACCCCTCTATCCCCAGCTCCCCGCTGGAGGGGAAAGACCCCAGGCGTCTGGCTGTGCCCAGCCCCGGGGTTTCTACTCCTAGAGGCCCCACGGGCACTGGGGATGCTGTGATTGACACCCACGTTTGCCCTCCTGGGGGCTTTCTCTGTAGGGCCCGGCCTGGGGGGGCGGCGAAAGAGACATGGACGGGCTGCGCCGCGCATTGGCGCTGGGTGAGTATGGGCAGGGCTGGGGGGGCAGAGTCAGTCCATGCATGAGTAGAACCCAGCATCCAGGATGCACACGCACACGCACACGCACATGCACATCCACACAGAACCCAGGTGTCCGGGGGATGGATACACACACCCACACACACACGCATAGAACCCATATGTTACACACGCGCGCGCACACACACGCACCCCCCCCAGGTGTCCAACACACACACCAGGACCCCGGTGCTTGTGTGTGTGCACATGTGAATGTGTGTGATGTGTGTCCGTCGTCCGGGATACCCCCCACCTCTACACACAGATGCATACCCCAGGCATCCAGGACACACACGCGCGCACACGTGCACACGCGCGCGTGCGCATGCATGCACACACACACACACACACACACACACACACACACACTACAGGCATCTGGGATACACACAGACACATGCAGAACCCAGGTGCCTGGGACATCCCCTCAGTTCCTACCCTGCTTCGTGCACCCTGCAGAGCAGGGGTGGGGGAGGGGGCTGCATTGCCTGGGGGCTCCCCCTGCCCTGGGCCAGCCCGTGACCCCCAGCTGGGCCCAGCCTGGCCCTGACCCTGCTGCCTCCGGAGGCCTGGCATGACACAAACGCGTCAGGTCTCAGCTGCCCCCTGCGGCCCTGGGTCCTGTCCTGGGTGCTGGCGGTGCCCCCCACCATGCCAGGGTGACATGTGGGGCTGAGCAGATGGGGGCTCCAGGTGCCCCTGACCCCTGGTGCTTGTAGCCCTGCAGGTGCTGTGTGTGGGCATCGCTGCTGGCACAGGTAGGTTCCGGGCGGGGGGAGGCTGGACCCCGGGGGGAGGGGTGGGGGTGGCAGAGGGCAGACCTGGGGTGGGGGGCAGGCATCTAGGGTCCCCCCCACCAATGCCTCTGTGCCCCCAGGAGCCCAGCACTGCCCTCCCAGTGCTGGGGAGAACCCAATGCATCCGGGGTCCCCTGCTCCCCCTGCTCCCCCACCCCTACCAACCTGCAGAGAACCCAGGTGTTTGGCGTCCCAGCACCCCCTGCTCTCACCTCCCAGCCCCCACTGCCCTTCCAGAGCAGAAAAAGGACCCAGGAGTCTGGGCTACCAGCCCCAGTCCTACTCCCCTCCTAGAGCAGGGAGGGAACCCAGGCATCTGGTTCATCCCTTCTGGGTGGAGGGAGGGAAGGATGGATGGATGGACAGATGGGTGGGTGGGTAGATGGATGGACAGATGGATGGACGGATGGGTGGATGAATGGATAGGCAAAGATGGAGAGATGATGGGTGGATGGATGGACAGATGGGTGGACAGGGGGGAGAGATGGGTGGATGGATGGATGATGGATAGACAGATGAGTAGACGGATGGAAGGACAGACAGATGGAGATATGGTGGGTGGGTGGATAGACAAATGAATGTGTGGATGGATGAGTGCACAGATGGATGGATGGATGGATGGATGGATGGGCGGGCAGATAAGGGGGGGTGATGGGCCCAGGACCGGGCCATGTGGGGCAGGACTATTGGGGAGGGACCAGCTACCCCACACCCGCGCCCCCACAGCTGCCCTGCTGTATCCATCTGGTGTGGAGCTTGGGGATCGCCGCACGCCACTGGCCGATGACGGAGCATCCCCGCCCGTGCCGCTCTCTGTGCCCTTCCATTTCTACCGCCGCACCTACCACACCCTCTACGTGAGTCCCAGATGCCTGTGTCCCTGGGGGAGGGCGGTGGCAGAGGGGCATCTGGGAGCCTGTATCTCCCCTGGGGATGCAGTGGGGCCTGGGAGCCCGGGCACCTGGCTTCTCTGGGAGGAGCATGAGGACTGCACAGGGAGCCTGGATGCCTGAGTTCCCCACACCACCCTCCCTTTGCTGGTGCCCACAGGTGAATAACAATGGACTGCTGTCCTTTGGGGCACCCGAGACCCAGTACACGTCCGACCCATTCCCACTGCCAGACGGCCGTGCCCTCGTGGCCCCATTTTGGGCGGACGTGGACGTGCGGGTGGCAGGCCGGGTGCTGTACCGCCAGTCTCGTGCCCCTGGGATCTTGGCCCGTGCCACGGCTGATGTGGGCGCCGCCTTCCCCCACCTGCCCTTCACTGCTGCCTGGGTGTTCGTGGCCACCTGGGACCGTGTGGCCTTCTACGGGGCCACCGTCGCCAAGGTGCGGGGCCCGAATGCCGGGTGCTCTCCAGATCTGGGAGGGGAGGGGGGCTGGGAGCCCGGACACATGGGTGCTCTCCAGATCTGGGAGGGGAGGGGGGCTGGGAGCCCGGACACATGGGTGCTCTCCAGATCTGGGAGGGGAGGAGGGTGGAATGAGCACGGAGAAGGCAGGGAACCCAGACTCCTGCGTTTGGTCCTGCACACCTCCCCTGCCAGATGACAACAGGGAGTGCCTGGGCCCTCCCAGCCCTTGCCAATCATGGGCTGCGCGTCCTCATCCCCTGGGTTAATCTGGGGTAATGCCACAGGGCCATGTGCCCTCATCCCTTTAGGCTAATCTGGGGCAATTCTTTGAGGCTGTGTGTCCTCATCCCCTTGGGTTAATCCAAGATAACGCCATGAGCTGTGTGTCCTCATCCTCTGGAGTTAATCTGGGGTAATTCTCACTGTCTGCCCCCCACCTCGGGGGCCACTTTCTCTCAGGTCAACACCTTCCAGGTGATGCTGGTCAGCGACGGACAACTCTCCTTCATCATCCTCAACTACGGGGACATCCAGTGGACCACGGGGGCAGGCAGCGGGGGGGACCCCCGCAGTGGCCTGGGGGGCATCCCTGCCCAGGTGGGTGGCACCATATGGGCCAGGGGCTGGAGGTGGGAGAGGGACAGGAACATGTGAGGTCACGGATTCTGGACCCGCCCTCCCCAGCTCAGGGGGAGGGTGCTCGGAGGTGGGGGGCTGGCTTCCACCTGGGGGGCTAACCAATCTCCCCCCCAGGCTGGGTTCAACAGTGGGGGCTCACGGCTGTACTTCAGCCTGCCCGGCTCACGCACCCCGGCCATCGCCCATGTCGGCGCCACCAGCAATGTGGGGCTGGCTCTCCCGAGTGGACGCCTTCTCCTTGCCCCCCGGCTGCGTCTACAACGGTGCGTCAGGGAACCCTGGCCCCCAACCCCAGCCGCCTCCCGGATCCCCTCCAAACCTCCCCATACCTAGCCCTGTGCCCTCGTCTCTCTGCCATGTCCCCCCACACTGTATCCACCTGAGACCCCCGTTCTCACCAGAGCAGCCCCCCCTCTTCCTGATCCCCCAGGTCTGGGGGGGCATCGGGAGCCCAAGTCAGTGGGAGGGCACCGATTTTTCTGTCCATCTGTCCCTCCTGGTGCTGCCTGGGCCCCGCTAACCTGCCCTCTCTTTGTCTGCCCGCAGCCCAGTTCCTGCCGCCAGGGGCTGCACTGT